TGAGAAAATAAAGTGGAAGAAAACAAAAAATTATTTAGTTATTTAAAAAATATAAACACCACTAAGAAAAATATTACAAACAATAAAATTAATGTTAGTAAAAAAACAGAACAATGCAAAACTGTTATTCATAAAGAAAACAATTAAAGTTATTTTTACATATTTCAGGCGTTGAAAATAAAGAGAGAGAATAGAAGAACTCAAAAAGTGTGCCTAAGAAATAAAGTAGTTTTGAAGAGAAGGTAGAAAATAGGAAAAAACAAGAGTGTAACAGAAAAATGAAAAAAAACATGAAAAAAATTAAATGACTAATTTAATACAATTAAACAGGAAGACTAAATGAAACAAGAAATAATAAACAGAAAAACACAAAAGTGTAAGTTGAAAATATGAGGAAACATTAATTGAACTCCATTTTTCTCTTGGAGTTAATTTCGGTGGCAAACAAGTCGGAAAAATAATTGTTTCTTGAGCACCTCCTTGTCATAAAACAAAGTGAGTAGCTCATAAACTCCTCTAATTCCATGCACATTAAACGAGAAAAATTTAATTTAACGCCGAATTGCACAAGTGCACTAAACCGCTCCTCGACTGAAAATCCGCTTAAATAAATTTTTTCGCCGGATTTAACATTTTGATAGTGAGCCAAATCGCCCAACACTCAGTCCCATCTATTGCAATTTGTCGGAATATTATGATAAATAACGAGAAAATAGCAAACAACGTGTTCGATAAGTTGACCCCGTTTCCCTAACACGGCTTGTTCATCCCCTTGCGATGGGGGTCGTAAAATTTGCAAGCACAAATAGGGAAGCTTGAGGGAGTCCAAAGAATAAAATTGCCAACAGCTGGAATGGCATTTAATTAGTGTTGGCACGACCCCAAAACACCGTTTTTTCATCATTTTGGGAACAATTCAATGAGATAACGAAACACGTTTGAGATTTTCGCCAAAATACAGTTTAGGAATCAATAATAAGTCTGATTGCGTTTCCGTTTCCCACATGCTGCTAATTAACTCAACTATTAACAATTAGAACGGTGTTGAGTAGACAACAGCGATCTATTCCTGTGGAATACCAATTAACATACTATTGTCTGCATCTAACGTGGTTTAGACAATTAATTATAACAATCCTTGCTTTGGCAGTGAAATTTTAAGCAAAACTAAAATACAGGTAGCCCAAGTGGTGAAGCCCTGAAGTAGAAATTCTGTTTTTGTGTTGTTTTGTTTGTTACTTCTTTTGAAGCATTTTTTTCTCACAATTCCTTCGTTGCCTTTCTTTCCTTTTTACTTTTGCTTCTGATTTTGTCACTACAGTCTTGTACTTTTTTTCATTTTCTTTGACACACACGTGATTTTTGGTTTTATTACTTAATTATTTTTCAGCTTAAACTTTTTTAATTTGCTTTTCACTTCTTTTACTCTTTTTTCAAGAAAAAAAACATTTTGTTTCAGAATTTTTTTCTGTTTTTTTAGTGAAATAAACAAAAACGACGAAAAGTCGAGAAACTATGTTTGATTTCAAATTTTGAAATTTTTTGTTATCTATTTTCTTTTTTTCCTCATTTCTTTTATGTTCTCATTCCAACTTTTTCCACTCTTATCTATTGTCTTCCCTATTTCTGTACCTATTTACTACTATTTTATTTTTTATCTTGTTTTGTTTTTTACTTCTTTTAATACATTTTTTTTCACAATTCCTTCGTTGTCTTCCTTTCCTTATATTTCTTCTTTTTACTTTTGCTTTCTCACTACAGTCTTTGTATTTTTTTCATTTTTTATTACCTAATTATTTTTCATTTTATTTTTTTTTAATTTGTTTTTCACTTCTTTTACTCTTTTTTACTGGATTTAATTTATCAATTACTTACTTTTTTGGTTTTTATTTCATTTTGTTTATGTGTTTGTTTTTTATTTGAGATCCATTTATCCACTTTCCCTAGTTTTTGACAATAAGAATTAAA